AGTTATTCTATACACATCTTATTTTTATTATTTTTATATTCATTGTTTCGTGATACGTATAAATATAAATTATAAGTCTTTGTAATATTATTTATTTATGTATGTATGTCAAAAATTTTCAAGTGCATTACGTTTCATATTAAAATAATATATAAAGCAAATGTATAATATAAATAGTCCATAGAATAGATACTAATAATACATAAAAAATATTTGAATTCATTTACAATTATTTCCTTAACACTTATTGAATCTAGTGTGTAGATTAACCTTTGGACGGACTGAACTAACTTTGCTCTATTGTTATTTTTTCTATTATTGTGTCATAATTAATTATTAAAATGATTGTATTTTTTTTGTATATAAAATTATTTTTAAAACTTTAACGATTCGATAATTCTCAGATCAATTAAATTATTTACACAAAACTTTTGTAGATTTTTTTAAATATTATTATGAAATTCATTATAATAAATATTAAGAATCAATAATTCGAAGAATCTTAAACTTTATTTAATTAAATTTAAATAATATTAATTTCATTTATAGATTTTTATATTAAATTTAGTGTAAATTTTATTGTATTAAGTTTATAATTTAAAATAAAATAATTAGTTCTTATAAAAACGAAATGTTTTGTTGATAAAATATACTTCCATATTTATTGTGAATTTTTTACAATATAATTGTCGATATCATTTGGTCAAAGAGCTTTCTATTGATTTTTAATGTACATTTTTTATATTATATGTTATGCGTTACACTCGACTTTCACGGATATCTGCCAATGCTCCAAAATTTCTAGGTTCTTCGTCGGAATAAGCCGATTCATTTTCCAATCTGTGCGATCTAACTTCATCAGTGTTTTGATTTCTAATGTAATATGTCATTGAATTAGATTCCACGTTGTGATTAGTTTCATTCATCTGCTCGTTTTCGGAATGTATATTTCTTAGAATAGATTGATTTTCTTGATTTACTTGTATTGCTGGTCTATCGTTTTCATTAGTATTGTTATACCAATTTTGCGGAGTATGGCTATTATTGTGATCCTCAGAATGAGGTAATCGAACAAAAACTATGCCAGTCTCTTGATTATCTCTTTGTGAATTCTCTATGTTATTTCTACTTTCTTGACTAATTCTTGATATACTTCGAACCAGATTTCTCGTGTTCATTAGCTCATTTGCCGATGTTATATTACTTGATACTTCATCACTATTATTTAAAAGTATTCTTTCGTTGTTTCGTTGAATATTATTATCGGATGTACAATAATTTCCATTATTCGATAACATATCATTTTGTTGTTCACTCTCATTTCCGTTCATATTATAAAACGACGTTTCATCTTGGTAAGTTCTAAGAGCTTCGAAGTTTGTATTACTAAATACTCGTGGTACCATCTCCTGGCTTAATCGATATAATTCTAATTCATTATCTACGTAATAACTATCAAGTGGATTGCTAATGATTGATGGATTTCTCGAGACATTCCTCCGTGGAAAACTTTGACTCGAGAAATTCGTTACTGTCGCATAAGGATATGCTATCGTATTCATTGGATTACTAAGTATATGTGGACAACCATCTAAGCTTTGCATCTCAATTTCCTCTTTACTATCGTGACAATAATTGTGCATATTTATGTCATGAGGAAGATTAGCAAACCTAATAATAGAATTAATTTATTAAAATTTATTAGGAAAAAGAATTATAAATATATTACAATACATCTTAAAATAAAATTTACCTATGTAATAAGATATCGGAATACGACGGCGGCATATCTGATTCTTCTTTTCCATAAATACTTTCATAAGTTGGTGGTGGAAAACATCCAACAGATCCTAAACTGTCTTTACTTGGTGTTTCTGCATCCATTTCAAGTATGCTACCTTGACTATTTTGCAACTGATGACGATTTATACTTCTTGGATTTCTTTGAGCTCGTAGTACACTGTCACCTAATTCCACTAAATCTAAACCTGTTTCATTGAAAGCGTGGACTGATTTTCTTTTTAAATTAATTATTGACTTTTTATATATAGTTCTGAGAATTTTTAGAATCGCAAATTTTCTTTTTAATCAAACGAAATTTTTTTCTAAGAAGAAAAAAAATGATAAAATTTAATATGTAATTATAATCTTACCAGTTGGATCTGTTTGGAACTGTGTAAAGATTGTACCATCGACAACGAGCATTCTACCGTGTGGTAATAAAATAATTGTTGGTGTTGCTACCATCGTTTGATCGTTGTTGCTAAATCGTGAATCTGGTTCAGGATCCTCGAGTCGACAACAACAGTGTCGTCTGCATAAAGATCTACAGAACGGAGCACCCCAACAGCAATAAGCGAATATAAAACAAAGCACAGCAAGCATCACCAGAAGAGCGGCCACCCCTTGGCCTTGTTGAGCGGCTGCGAGGGTTGGACCACCGGCGACGCCGACACCGACACCGACACCGAATCCTAACCCTCCGCTGCTGCTCATCTCGCCTGCAAGCATTATTCTTCTTTAATCTTCAATCGCATCATAGGTGATCTTAATTTAAATTAAGTTATTTATTATATGATATTCTATAGATTTTCTCATTCTTTCATATTTTTTGCATTTTACGTAACATAAAAATTATCAATGGAATTTATCATGTAAAATAGAAACCGAAGTTTGATTAATATTTTTAACATGCTTTTGTAATAAGCTTTTTATTTCAAAAAAGATTTTAATGAAAAGATTGGACATTACTCATAAATATCTTCTATTTTATATCAGAAACGTATTTCAATCCGCAATGCGGAATAAACAGTAATGTATGTATTTCTGGCAATATTCCAATATTAATATAAGCAAAATCTTATCATTGTTTTTTGAGCAACATTTCCAACACCATTTAGAAATGAATTGTTACAATATTCTATATTTCTTATGATTGTTATAATATTATTTTCATATATTAATTTACATATCAGTTAATCACATATCATTTGAAATCTTTCTTTTCTTTTCTTTTGTTAATAATATAAAAAAAGAGTTATATTTTAAATGATATACATTACTCTCACTGTGAAGATTGATAAGAAAATCATGTTTTATTGTAATTTATTCATGAATTATGACACGTGCTAACTTCGAATGTTGGAACGCTCTCTCTTATGCTAACAGAATAAATTTCGTTATCTGCCGGAAAATAAAGCAAGGTGAAAGTGAGAAAAGTGCAATAATCATAACATAACATTGTCGGTGGGTCAATTATTTCAATATTTTCAGATTCATAAATTAGTTAGAAAATTGGAATAGATAAATTTAATAATAAAAAATTGAAAATTAATTATAATGAGAATAATAATATTCAAAATTTCTATTTTTAAATTAATAAAAATATGTTAACAATGTTCTTTTATATTTAATGTAGATAATACTTAGATATTTAATATATTATTTAATAATATATTTATTTATTTAATTTGCAATTATATTTCCTTTCTTATTATAAATTTAAAATTCTTTTTTTTTTAATTATGTAATATAAATTGTGGCTGTTGAGATAAAAAATTAATCAAATAATCGTGTATAATTATTATCAAACATTTAAAAGGAATAAATATAAAAATTACCTTGGTGGTAGTGTTGTATAGCCAAGTCGTCCCCGTGGTGGTCACAGACTCCGCAATTTTGCGCGATCCGTACACCATGAAAATAATCTTCTTAAATTTCACAGAAAAATATCCGCTTCTTCTTTTCAACGACGTTTAAACTCAAAGTGATTATATTGATAATCGTTTCATATAACAGCATCGCATCACGCGATTCAAAGTTTCTACTTAAACTAATAACGATTCAAGAACATACACAAACTACATGTATATGAACGTTCTTTAATTGTTATTGATGTGGTAAGATGATTATTCTGTAAATACAATTTCATTTCTGTATTCTGTTTCTTAATAAATTGTATACCACAGGAATATTTTTAGTTACAAAATTTATCGCGAATTTATTATATACGCCGAAATTAATTTAAATTGACCGAGTTTCTCATTGTTAATGACATTGCGGGAAACGATGATGGTATTATGCCGTGATCTTAATGATCCTCGCGACAAACTCGCAGAAGGATCTCTTCACGAAGGCATCGAGCGTGAAGTCGAACAACGTACACTGTCATCGTGTAGATACTCTTGACCCATTTTAATATCTCCCCACTTAACATCAACCTGCTGCTTTTCGCCTTCGATGTCTTTATTTCTCAATTGAGGACGTCTACTGGTTCAATACATTTCATTTCTTTGTTATGTCTCTTCTTCACGTTAGAAATAAATTTTAAGATTCTAGTTTTACCGTTTGATCAATTTTTCATATGGATGGAATATTAATTTTGATATATTTTCATTTTCATCATGTACTTTGGTTAACGCCATTTCTTTTCTATTTTTTTATACCTTCATAATTTCCGCTTTGTTTTATAATCAGATAACAAAATTGAATTTCATCGATCGAAAATTCAAATTTCCCGGAAAATCTGCTGATCGATGTCATTAGACGCAGTGCGGTTTTTAAATAATGGAGCGACAAATTTGTAAATTTGCGTTTGGACATTCAAAGAAAATGATATTTAGATATTCGTTGTTTGAATTTTATAGAACATTTAATGATAAACATTCTTTTTTAGTTAACATTTTTAATTACTGATGAATATTATTTAATTATATATACATAGTTACTTATAACATTTTATTTGTTAACAAATTTTTATTCGTTTTTTAATAAAATTATTATTTATTTTGTATTTAAATATTCATTCATTCAATTCTTAAATCGAATTGTTGACATCCCTTTCATTTTGTAAGCTTGACGTCATTGACTGCAGATGAAGGCGCGCCATATTATTTACTGTCAGTGTATTGTGTATTCATACAATGAGTTTTTAAAATATTTTTTTTTCTGCATTGTTTAATTTCGATATAATATTTAAAAATGTCATTATCATATTTTTCAATCAATTTTATTAATTAGATCGAATCGTATTCTTCAAGATTGAAGTTATCAATTATAAATTAAATTGCTCATTTAAAAATGAAATAATATTTTAATACGTATATATGACGTATATATTATTATCGCACTCAAAAATGAAATCATATATATAATATATAACAAATCGAGAAATCAATTTCACACTTATCACACTTTTTGGAATATTTTTATACCACGATTTATAACTATTGATTTATATGAAATAACACAATAATAATTTTAGTTTTTTCTTTTAAATTTGTTTCATTGAAAAAATAATAATTACAAAAAAGAATTTTATTTATTCGTTGTATATGGGTTATATCTATGAGGCCAATGTGTCGAATGCGTTACTACCCTCGAACTTCTCTATAACTTGTGGGGCGCAGCACCTTCTCACGGCCCCTCGAGACACTGACTTACGATTCGTCGATGTTCTACTCGGTGGCGCTTATTTGTCTACCCACTTTCCATAAATAGTATCAAAGTTAACCCTTATTACTTTTTTTAATACTATAAATATTTTTTTTATAAATGTTTTAAGTTTTAAATATAAAAAAGATATTTTTTTTAAATTTCTAATGGTCTTTATATGTGTTACTAAGTAATGCAATACATTTTATTCTAAAAATAAACTTCTAAATAATAATATATTGCTCTAATATAATTTATTTATGCTTTATTTATTTAACAAAAATATTTATATTTTACAGTGATATATTTATAATTAAATAAGTAAGAAATTATTTCTCCGGTAAAATATTTAAAAGCCATTTTTTGAAAAATTGTATCTCATTATCACCTAATTCATGATTAACATTATCTAATGGTACAAATTGAGCAATAACTCCAAGTTTTATTAGATTATTATAAGATTCTCTTCCCCATTGTATTGGAACAAGCATATCTTCTGTACCATGGAATTGTAGAAGAGGTGGTGTACGTATATTTGGATTTTTTTGTAAATTCTATAATATATTTGTAATATATTTATAATAAGAAAAAATACATCAAGTTAATTTTGAAAAAATTATATGAAAATTTATTATTTGTATAAGATACATATAAGATACATACCTCATATATGAATGAATTTTTGTTAAGAAAACTAGACATAACACAACAACCAGCTAAAGATAATTTATATTTATATGATAAATATAACGATAGAGCTCCTCCCATTGAAAAACCACCAACAGCAATTCTATCAGAAGAAATTCCATTAGAAATTTCTTTATCAATAAATTCTGTAATAGTGGTACAAATTGAATTTATTGATTCATTATCTTCTAATGCATTAATAGATATGCCTTTACGATCAAACCATACATGGCTAGGCTAAAAACATTCATTTTTATCAATATTTTTTTTATATTGTATTTTACACTATATATACTTTGGCTTTGTTATCAATTTATTACCCTTCCATTATTAGGTGTATAAGGTAATAAAGGTGCAGTGGGATAAATAATTTTTATATGTGGAAATTTTAATTCTTCTCTATTTAAAATATCAATCCATTCTTTAAAATTATTTCCAGCGGATCCTAAAATAAAAATGTGAAAAATAACTTTTAACTTTTAACTCTATTATTTATATAAAAATTGATAATATAAAAATTATAATAATTATATTTATGCTATTTAATAATATTATATGAATATAAATATAAATACCTGAACCATGAAATAAGAATAGACTAGCACTATGCCTTTTAGTAGCATTTACAACGTCAATCTTTAATAGTTTAGTCATGTTATATTTATATATTGCAACATCAAAATAATGAATGATTACAATCTCTTTGATGATTCATTAAATAGTGATAATCGGTTTCTATTTATCAGTATTATTCTTTTTTTATGCAATACAAGATGTCCAACATCTCAATTCTACTAAGTTAATATACCTAAATATTCCTATTCTGTGAAGGTAGTTTTCATTGTGTTTCAATAGCACAATTGATGAATTATAAGATTAATATTTGATTAATCCGTATATAAAATAAAAACAGAGACTATATACATTTTTATTAAAAATATTTATTTCAATTTGCAAAATAATATAAAGTTAATGTCGCTCATTCAAATCTAATATCAATTATCAATAATATGTCAATATATTAAAATATATATAATTATAATATTTAGATATTAAATATTTCATAATACATTTGAAACAAATACGAACTATTTCGAATGATAATCTTTATTCAATTGTTTATAAAAAAATCATTGCTCGGTTAATCATGGTCGAACTGTCGACATAACCACGTTTCTGCGCACGCATATCTCGATTTTCATTCGACTCTCTTCGAGATCATTTGAAATCGCATGCCAGACAGCGGTCCGGCTGGGTTAAGGCACGAGTGCTTGGTTGTGTTGATAGGGTATTAGTGTCGCGTTGATGGATACGTCGGTGGTGTTCTGCTAAAATTTTTCTCACGCTGTTCGATCAGTAGAGTTATGTTTAATGAATCGTAACATCCTGGCGGAACGATGCAGAGAAGTGGTGAGTAGTCAGAAGTTTTCTTCAACATATATGAAACATAGAAATTCGATGACTCGCAAAGACAACCATTTTGAGGGCGCCAAATTTTTGCGTCAATACACAGCGCCGTAACTGCCCGGTCAATACAGCAGCCGACCTAACCTACCAACTATTCGGTGAAACAGTTCAGCCGCTTTAATTTAACCATATAGATTGTATTTTTATTATATTTTTTGATTTTCGTGTGAGTCATATATTTTTGAAATTCAAATTCCTTTCATTCATGTTATTCTAATATGTTATTAACAGAGTTCTTATTTTTTTGGATGTCATATAATTTATATTATTCTTTTTTCTTATGAATTTTGTTGTTAACAAATTTTAAGAAAACATTATATGTAACATATACGTTCTCGCTTTTTTCTATTATGTGCAAATATATCGTATAATAATAGATAATTTTTCCATTATTGTAAATATTAGATAAAAATATTATGCCATGGTTTTATTTTTTATTATAAGTATTATATTCATATGTAATACAAAAAATAACTATATGCATATTGAAATACGAATTTAAATAACTATTTATTAAGATCAAAATATATATTCATTTTATTCTCGGATATAGAACTTAAAGATAAAATTTTGTTTCCGTTTTCGTTACACAACATCATGAAGCTTGCTGGTTATGCACTGTACTTTGATGTTATGTTTCATTTCACTTATCACCATCACTTACTCAACCGTACACAAGTGGTTTAAATAGCCCGGTGTAAATTGCCATCTCAAGTTAACCAGTAGAAATCAAAACAAATCTTTTCTGAGAGCTGAACTCTCTTCCTACACACTGTTTATCTTGATTACGTTTATTAACCATTGATGAAGATTTTATACGTGCTATAAAAATAATACAATTTCATTTTAGATTATATTTAATCACTTTAATTTACAAATAAAAAATTTGAAAGTTAAAATTTTAATATTAAAAAAATATTAATATTATTTGGAAAATAACATTCATATATTATTCATAGTTCTACTAGTTACACTAATGCAGTATTCTCAACCAGCTCGTTTTCTTTAGTCATGTAACTTTAAACTATTATTCTACACGACTTGAAATCATATCTGTCATATATATATATACCGATCTCAGTAGTAATGCAATAACAGTGAGTACATCTTGTCTATCTATCTTTTTTGCTTTCTTCTTGAAAGGTATATTCATTTATACTTGTACTAGAAAACAGAATGACAAAGAAAGTATTTCACATGGTTGTTTTTAACAATGTAATAATTTTGTATTTTTTTGGTAATAAAATAATTTTACCTCAATATTAGGAATTATCGAGTAACAATGAAAGGCAAAAATAATAATCAATTAATTATGTGAGATTGTATTTTGATTGTACTTTATTATACGTTCATTTATCTGACCTCGAAGTTTGAATGAATAGCTAACTGTATTTGAAGAGTTCAAACTTCTTATCATCTCTTGTATCCTGTTAACTATTTTAACCATTCAATATCGATAAATTATCGATAATATCGTTAAGATTTTAAAATATATATACATATATATATATATAATATTTATAATATAAAGGAGTAGAAGAAAATATAAGAGATTTAATGTTTGAACGTACAAATTTTAGTTTCCTGATCTTCATTATCATTATCAATATTTTACTATTACGATAAGTTACGATAAGTGTGATTTCGTTGTAGCATTGTTAAATTATCGATAACATATCGATAAGTTATCAATATTTATTCAATAACTACAATTTTACTTCCACATTCATATATTTTAAATATGTAAAAAAAAGGAAGAAGACATTGAACTAAATTTTAATATTCAAATAAAATCGAACATAGCCAAACATTCGAATATTTCAATATTCGAACAGCTAAAAGTACTTAGTTTGAATTGGATACAAAACGAGATTTACTTGAATACTCGTTTTGAATTTCGAGTACTCAAACAACTTTGCGTCATGTATTATTCACAACAAAAAGAAACGCCTCCTCTTTCATTTAGAATTCTCTGTAAACTCTTGACATTTCTTCCATATATATTATTTTATCAGAAACAAAAAGTCATTATTGGTCAATAAAAATCAAACTCTCT